CATCATTTTCGGCTCTTTCCCCCCTGAAAATATGACTTGGCCCCCCCCAAGAAAAAAAGCTGGATCCGCTCCTGTTAGAAGGAGGCAGAATCCCGGAAGACTCGGATGAGCTCAGGGGACAAATGTTCGTCAATAGATATGATCTATCGGTGGGAGTTTCGGTGACCGACTGTGAGCGGATCCGCCGCATCGGTCGCTCCAATACGCTCCACATGCCTCGCCTGCGGATAGATCTCCCCTTCAAGCTGGAAGCCCTTGGCCAATGTACCGCTCAGCTAACCCTGAGAACTTATCTATGCGCGTGTCGAAGCGGAGTCAACGTTGAAGATATGAATGGTCGACATCAAGGAATCGGAATGAACCTTGCTGTTTATTTTATAAAGTCATAACAGTGTCACGAGAATAGAAATGCCGAGATATTCGGAGTCATCTCTCCTTAATGTAGGCCTCAGGAGAATGATTGAACATTTATTTCTACATCTGAGTGAAATGCACATTTAAGTAACCAACCCTTATTTCTCCCTCTCCCGCTTGATAATACCATTGGCTCACACGTGTTTGCGCAAACTGCTCCTCCTGTACGAGTCACAGACTTGCTGGAGGAAAATCGAGATAGTAAACATCATTCAGCTCAATCGCTTCATCGCGACTTCTTCCCAGATTCATCCGCGTTGGTGCCGTATTGGGAAGCTGTTTTTGAAGTCTCTGTGAGGCCGACCATCTTCAGGAGAGCGCCGTAAACTGCAGGAAGAACGCGAAAGATCGTTTCAAAAGAATGAATTAGTGAAGCGTGGGGCGCGAGGGAACGCGTCATCGTTTCGAGCCCATCGGCTCCGCCCAGCGCCTTACCCCCTACACCTTCGAAATAGAATCTGGCCCCCAGAAAAAGTCCTAGATGCGCCCCAAATCAAAGGCTGTCATCGCCGTTAACTAAACACGTTGTCCCTTGTTCATCGACTCACTTATGCCGAAAGAAGACAAGATTGCAATCATCTGGGGTACAGACGGCGAGAGCCAGAAGGCATTCAACGTCCAGTACGCCATCGGGATCGTGAAGGCGGTCACCATGCCCAGATGAATCAATCCTGGCCGCAGACGTTTCTCCAGTTTCAGTTCTACACAACCTGCAGGCGCGAAGAGTTCTTTTGAGATCGAGTTTAGATTTCGACGCAACGAGGAAAAAGGCTCGTCTAGATAAATCCGAGGCTGTTGACGATGTCTGCTCACCTTTTGGGAACTCGTTGTTGTGTGTGTGGTAATACTCAGTCACCTTGTCCTTGTCTTCGTAAATCTTGTAAAGGAATTTTTTGAGGTCTTCTTCGTTATCGGGCAGGTCGTCGATTGCGTATCTTCTGACGTACATGTCCCCGTGGCACGGTTTGCCTTGCAGCAAAGATGTGAATGTAGGAGGATACTCCACATCTTTCGGTACGCACAGCTCGATATCGTACAGATACTTCATCTTTCCTTGCAAATATTTTGTGCAGAAAGCGAAGCCCTTCGGTCGGGGTAGAAGATGGTGCTTCAACTGAGGGAGGTTGTTCTCAATCGCGAATTTCAGCGAGTTTTCGTGTTTGGCTTTGGTGAAACGAGTTCCCTCCGAGAACATGAGCAAGAGCATCGTTTCGTCGTAGCTCAGGATGCGGTCCAACTTCTGAGGAAGAGTCTGGCGATCCTTCTCCCACGACCTTTCTAGAAAGATCATCTCACCGAAGAACCAATTCCAGCCCATGACGGGTACGTACGCAATCATTTTCTTCGCCGTCGTTTTGCAGTTCTGTAAGCGCAATTCGGAGCGCTCAGTGCATAGCCGGCGCCATGAGCTAGAATTTCGGGAGCGTAGGGGGAATTTTCTCGAACTCACCGGAAGGATATCCAAGGCGTCGCAAACCATCCAGCAGAAAACGAAATCAGTCTCGTAGGAATGATTCATGATGACGATTCCGTGCTCGGAACCGAAAGAGTTGACTGCGTCTGGATCTTCCATGAAAATTCGAACCGTCGAGTTGCTCCAGTACTGACCGAGCGATACGATCTCTGAAAAAGTTGATTTTCTTTTCCCTATTTCAATCAATTTACGGTCTCCAGAGCTCTCAGGAACTGGGTCAGAAAACGATTCCGTTCGACCGGGCTCGACATTCTGGCTCGGAAGAAAAAATGAGAGAATCCTTGGGATCGATCCGTGCATCGCTTCTTCTGGGAATTCGCAATGCCTTGATGTAGCGTGTCTCAAGCAAATCTCAAGATTTATTTCACGTCGGGATTTTTCTAATTTTTCATTTTGATCTCTTTTTCGGGCGTGGAATTGAGCATCTCAAGGTCTCCTCGAGGACGACCGTACGCAGACGGATCGGAAGTTATCTAGTGTAAAATTAGCTGCTCTGGCCTTCTCAGCGCCCGATTTCCGATGCGACCTCTGTTCCACCGGACGTGCCGGGCACGGGTCCATGGCAGTCCGGAGAGAGAGATTCCTGCCGGCTTAGAGTAATTCAAACGGATGCCGCAGTGGATTTCCGGCATTTTCCCGATGTCAGTTTGAGAAAAATAAAAATTCTCAGTTCAGCTCATAAGTGAGCAAAGTCAAAACAGCAGAGACCCCCAATGAGTAACTTTCTTCACGATTCCTCGTCATGCCGAGGCGCCGAACGCGGAACGATCTTCGGATGATTCTTAATGGAACGAGTGAAGGGATCTGATACTCACGAGCCCAGTTTCCATAGATGAGATGTTTGTTCAAGAAGCGGAACCACTTCTTATTGATAGGACGGATGAGCACGTACACGATCGCTTGCAGAGCATTCAAAAGCAATCCGGTGGTCAGGTACGCACCGAAAAGAAGTGTGTGAGCCAAGGTACTGCGTTTCAAGCCGGATAACATGGTTGGATGCTGGATGTTCCTGAAGGACTTCTCAGCGGGCAGAGGAATTTTACTCAGCGCGCTGGAAGGATAAAAATGTGTTCGCTGGGTGACTTGATCGAAACTGATACCTAGTCGGCTCTTGAGAGATAAGGTCCAAATGTCCTTCTCATTTGAAATATTCCACACCCTCCATTCATCGACCGTTTCCCATCCAAATGATAAAATCAGTGCCAACGAGCAGACGTGTATTCCTTTCATCAGACACACCATTAAGTGATCGAATGCGGCAGGAAAGTCATCGAGGATCAAGTATGATGAATTTCGCGCGATATCTGTGCCGTTAGTCACTCTATGTTAGCCTGAGGGTTCCCCGGGTGTCGCGGTCGGATTCGTGAAGAGACTGAGCGCGAACGAAATCATCGAACCGAATGAAGAGTCGGCGATGCCGAGCCGAACATGCGAGATGAGATGACAAGTTTCCGTCGGATATTGATGACCGGACCCCCCTCAAAGAATTAAGTCACTCTTTCGCGACGTCACCTGACGGTCCATGAGATGATGAGACACGTTCTCGGGATATCACGATGCTTCTCCCCAGACTCGTGCAAGACTTCAGAGTTTCCCGGAGTAGTCTACTAGGAAGTGACATCACTTACGGTGCTGGGGAATGTTGAGCCGACTACGAAACGAAGTAGCTACATAAAACGATTTGTAGTGCTCTAATATCCAGATCGCAGACGCACGAAGACACTCTCATGCACGGAGTCAGCGTACTGGCCGATCGCGGAAATGACATGTATCATACGACCATGGAGAATCATTGACACGACGCGACTGAAGGAAAACAAGCTGAGCGCGACGACGTCGAATGCAACCTACGTCACGAAAAAACTCTCCACCGAAGCGGCTGATGAGTGAGCGGATAAAAGATAGCGAGAGGGATAGGTCTGAGCTCTGTTTGTGTGACAGGGAGACCTGTCATGAGGACTCAGCTTACCCTCACCTCATCTTTTGACATCAGCATGCAAAAATTCGCGAATATGTTGAAAGTTCTTTTCCTCCACCAGGAGGCTGTCTGCTACTGTATCAGCGGTTTCTGTTGTGTCGTCTGCTCCCCTGGGAAATATGACAACAATAATACCGACGGTAATGTTTACGCCGCATGAGCCGCTTCGATCTTCAGAGGGACTCATCTAAGGCTATCCTGGAGTGTGTTCTCCCTCGAGCTCCTCGCGTTCCGGGGTGTTATTCGGTGGATCCAAACGCTGGGTTCTTTTATAGCCGGTCCATCTATGAAGAGGATATTAGGTCTCGGACAGCGGTGCGGGTGAGTTCTCACGGGAGGCATGGTGTGCGCGATCCGTCTTACATGTCATGAACTCCACCGATTCGCGAAAGACTTCCATAGGGCAATCAGTTTCCATGCGTATGCGGACGGGGAAACCCTTTAGTGTTGCGAATTTTCAAGAATCGAACGGTGAGTTCGCTCGCATGAGATATGAGAATGGAAATCTTTCTAAAAATTCGCGTGTGATTTCAGGCTACCGAGACGGCGGGTCTCGCAGCTCAGCACCGAGTCTAAATCTTCGACAGCGGAACCGGAAATAGTCATACCACAGAGAATACCGAGGTATTTACGCCGCGAAGCTCATCCTTGATAATCGTAGGCTGTGATTTATATTCGATGTATTCAGCTTTCTTTTTCCCGTGCAGAGGGCCGACGGACATACTCCGCGCACTCGCGTCGACAATTCACAAGGACCACACGGCCCCCCATTACAAATTCATTGATGATCCATATCTGATTCCGGTGTCTAATCCGGAAAAACGATCGTATGCGCTCGCGATGGAATCAGGGAGGAAGGCAGCTCGATACATGCTGACCAATTTCCCTGAGTGTTTCAAAAACGATCCAGCCGAGCCGAAGGTTGAACTCTTCAATCCGCCGCGCGCAGCTTTCCAGCCCGGCGCTCAAAACTCAGAAGAGGATTTGGTTCGTTGTATCGATGAAATAAATGTGGCGGAGTCCCTGGTAGTCTACGAAAATCTGAAGACCCACGGTAAGAATTTTCAAGTCTCGGGAAATCCGTCTGGGAACTCTAATGCGGATGACTTGCCTCCGGAACTGTTCATCCTGGGGCAGTGGGGAAGTCCTCAGGAAAAGTTAGATTTGAGTGCCCACATCCGTGAGGGTTCAATTTCTTTCTCATCCGAAGGTATCAAAATATCCCAAGAGAACCTCCTGAAGCTACTCCAAATGGTCTCCTTCTTCAACGAGACGCCCCCGGATGAGATGCTTTCGATCGAATCGAAGCATCTAAAACGTAAGGAAAGACAGCCAAGGAGGAATCAATGGAAAGTCGGTGGCGTCGCGGAGAAGATTTTCGAGGAAATCGAGAACAAGGACGGCGAGGCTTATTCCGCCCTCATCCGAGGAATGTTGAAACATGGCAATGTCGATAGGGGGTACAAACTCTTCGAGGAGATGCTCACGAAGAATTTGGTACCGACGAGACACGTTTTCAATCATTTGATACGCTGGGTCCCGCTACTGAAGGAGTCTCATCAGTCGCGTTTGGCATTTTTGATGGAGCTACTGAACAGGATGGAAGAGTGTGGCGTCCGGCCCGATCTGATCACATTCAACAGCGCTCTCTCCGCTTGTTCACGGTGAGGAGCATCGAAATACGAATGACATCATGATTATACAAAGGTACATATATTCCGCGGGATGAGTCAAAACCTCAACGGAATCTCGACCCCCTACAGGTTAGGCCATACAGATCGCAGCAAGATCGTCCCGGAGCTCTTGGCTGAGATGAGGTTCCTGGGGATCGAACCGAGCTTGGCGACCTACGGCCACATTCTGGAAACGCAGTGCACGCCGAAAACAGGGCCGTCGGACGCCCTCCATCGAGTTCTGGCCGAAGTCACCCAACGGCAATGGGAAGTTCGGGATCCAGACGATTTATTTTTCCTCGTTGTGGCGATGGAAAAAGTCGTGGCATACTCTCCCGACAGGGATCTCGCGTACCAGCTGCTTGACATGGCCGAACTGAATCCGCATCTGTTGTTCAACGCGTACAACGAATCGCTTTTCTTCCAACAATTATTCAAGCTGCTGTGTGTCACCGAAGACTTCGACCAATTGATGCTTGTTTACAATCGACTCGTCCCGAATACTTACTCTCCGGAGGCATCTGTCGTCCAGGAAATTCTCACCTGTATGCAGATGCAGGCGGCTCATAGATATCTACCGCAATTGTGGTCGGACATCGTCCTGTTATACCATGTCGAGAGAGAACCGATTCTCAAGCAAGTTCTCGCGCTGGCAGCCTCGGTCGAGGTGGGCGAAACTGAGGAGTCGCAGAAACTGCAGCAGCAATGTGCGGTGCTCGCCCAAGACATGCAGACCAGAGTGGAGGCAATCAATGAGGAGCGCAGCCGAGTTTTCCGGATGCCGATCTTGCTCGACGCAGAGGTGCGTGTGCAGCCTTGGGTGCTGGCGTACTGTCGTTCGTGGCCGCCCTCGTACAGGCCCGTACGGCGAGCGTGAAAACTAAAGACTTGATGATTGATTGCCTTTCAGATGCTCTCCAACATGTTGCTGACCTACTTGCGGGCAGACCAGATGGCGTGGGTTTCGAAAACTCTGGAACATCTCATAAAGAATCAGCATCTCGTACCGGGGGTTCCATCGGCGACGGTGCTCATGAAACTTGCCGAAAAAGCTTGCGAGAAAGAAGACAAGGCAATGGCTCTGGTGAGGGAAATCTTCGGGAACTTCTGGCTTACTCCTGTCGGGAATAGAATACCGACCGACACCATGACCCCATCGCCCAAGGACGAGAGCCTAAAACTTTGAATGATCACTCGGTTTCAGGCCTGCGCAAGATACTGCGATGAAATCGGTCATGAGACGGTTGTGGATTTCATCAAGGAAAAAGCTGCCGAGAACAAGAATTTCGGTCCTGATTTCCTGACTCGCTTGGAACGAAAAGAAGCGGCGGAAGATCGAGAGATTGAATAAATATGTGGACTATTGCCCTAGGGAACGGAACATTGTACTTCGTTCGCTGTTGAATCGGTTCCGGCACGTCTCGCCTCGAGGATAAGTTTCGATTTTCTCGTTTTCGTCCCAAACCCCCACCGATATCTGGGGATTCCGTTCGAGAACCTCGATCTCAGGATTGCTTGTTCTCTGGCAGACAAGCAGTGCCACCATTCCGATACTGTCTTAGGAAGGTTGACTGTCATTTCTAAGCGAGTCAGAGTTCCATGACGGGAGCCCGGTAGTTGGCGAAGGAGGGAGGAGTCATTGTTGTGGGTGCTCTTTCTTTCATTGCGATTAGAAGAGTACATCGTTGCATCAGTTATTGGATTTGTTCGCCATTTCGACCGACAGAATCAAATTGTCATAACCGTAGCCGTGAACGTGGTTGATCGCGTTCTGGGCTTCACTAATACGCTCGTACGACACGAAGGCGAAGCCTTTCGGCACATTTGTGATTTTGTCTTTCGCGAGGAAAATTCGAGTGATGCGTCCGAACGGCTTGAAGAGCTCGGTGAGATCGCTGTCCTTGACATCTTCCGAAAGATTCGTGACTCGCACCGTAGCTTCGTCCCTATTTTGCCGAGTGAGAGGCATGCTCTCGCCCCGCCGACCGCCGAAACCGTCGCGCAGCCCCGGGCTGACGTAGCGCTCCACCTTCGAATCGGAAGTTTTGGATGCAGCGTTTGCCGCCGCGGCAGCTGCTCGACTCGACTCGTCCAACGGTGTGTTCGACGGCATTTGGTTCTTGTACGGACAATGTGTCGTCCAGTGATCCTCTTTGCATATACGGCAAGCGACGACTTTGCTGAGTTGAGTTTTCGCTTGCAGCTGGAGATCCTCCTCGGTTTCCTGCTGTTCTTCAACTCCGCCCTACAGGAAGAGATAGCGTTTGTGGATATCGACGGCACAACAATATAGAAACTTTTTAATTCCCCAGCCCATGGGTAGGGAGAAGTCCATAGACAGTCTAGGCTGTAGACTCTTCTACAGGAGAGTTTTCAGATACGGGAGACGGCGATGATGATAGTCCTTACCCTGATCGAGACGAACTGCATGAAAATCTCTTCAGCTACGATAGTCGTCGCGGGATTCGGTCCGGCAGAATCATTTTTGGAGTCTCCGAACTTCTTGAGACTTTTCCGATGAGCGACACTTTTCGCAACCTCCTTCTTCTCCATCTTGTAGGTGCTGATGACCTTGAATTTCTTGCCATCCTGCGGAGGAATGCTGCTTTAGAATTCTCGGAAGCATTTTGATTCCGCTTCGAGGACATTCTGGGAGGGTTTCGATTGTGTTCGAATGCCGAACGTCGAATAGAGGCGGTGCAGCTGCGATTTCGAGAGAGCAGCAATCGGCGAAGAAAGGAGCTTCGCTCCGAGAATCTCCGGGAACTCTTCTTCGGCTCGATCGAATACGCTCGAACTATTCAGCCCGGGAATCGGAGCAATATCTCTACGTCAAAACGGGAATCACTCCGACTGACTGCTGCATGTCCCAATCGACCGGGAAACATATGTGCTCCGCGAGCTCCGCGTCTAGGCAGGTCCCATGAACTCCATGCGGCACGAGAACTCCTGCAACCGCGAGTCCAAAGGCTTGATGCTCCCGAATGAGCTGCTCGCCCGCCGGGCAGCTCATCGAGGGAGGAAGCTTCGGGAAATGTTCGTAACCGGGAATCGCATGACATCTCACCTTTTCTCTGTAGTCAGTGATGATCTTCAGAGATCCGTCGATTCTCTCACTCGGCTCGGGGAGATCACCCTGCTCGAACTCCACTCGATCGGCCCACGAAGACTTCATCATGCCGATCGAATTACAAGAACTCTATGAGTCCGATCTCCGATGCCAGCGAGCGAAAACGTGTGTGTGCGATTTCGAGCGCTCGACTCATGGACGCAAGATCACCATCATCATCTAATATTCAAAGCTACTCCGTACACTCCGCAGAAAAAGTAGGGGCCGATCTTCATGTGCTGGGACGCACCCTCGCGGGAATTCGGTATGATTTCCTCGCCGATCGGGCCCGCTCTTGCGCGTCGGCGTTTTCTGTCTTTGGAGGGAAGTCCTGCCGCAGGCAGAAATCATTGAAGCACCGCCGGCGAAGCACGGTCGTCGTCTGCTACGGATTATTCAATTCTACGAGCATCCTCGCGAATCGCGCTAAACCACTGGCTCCGCCATGAACTCATCTAGCCCGAGGATCCGCTGAGGACTCGTCGATAATGTCGGCGACAGGAGCATTGCGCACTCTTGGAGTCTATCCTGCCTCATTGTGATCACTGTCTTGCGATGGATTCGAAGATCACGAAATTCGAACATTTCATCAATGATTTTCTCCGTGAGCAGCTCCGGGAACTTTACGAAGAGCGGGAGAAAGTCTCCCATCAGGCTGCCGAATATCTCCAACTCCAAAGAGCGATTCAGAACCTTCAACGGAGTGTAGCTTCGGATGAATCCGGGGGAAAGGAAGTTCGTATGCAGGTTGGTGAGAGAGAATTTCGTCTGTACAGAGGTACAGATTTGAATTCGTCAGAAGAATGAGCTTGTCATAGAATAATTCCATCTTCCGCGGCACGGCATGGCTTGGTTTTCTCGAGACGACTCATGACCAATCCCCCTGGACGGGACGATTTCCCCGGAACCAGAGTTCCAGCAGGCGACCGTCTTAGCGACCAGACTACAATAACCGAAATCCAACTTTCAGGTGGATATTGGTTGCAGCTTCTTCTGTCAAGCAAACGTGCCAGACGCTTCGAAAATTTTCGTTTGCTTAGGAATGGGGATTTTCTGCGAGATGTCACATGAAGACGCAGTGGATTTCATCGAGAAGAAGCAGCAACTGCTTCAGAAACGAATAGATCACCTAAGTACGTTGACCGAGTCAGTAGATGAGGACAGAACATCTGATTGTATCCGAGTGTGTAGAGTCCTCGTTCGTATGGCTTACTCTATGGACCTCGGTCTCCTATCATCATTATTGTACCAACCGAGGTCGCAGTAATCAGAGGTGACCTTTCATTACAGGCGATCAGTGCGCCGAGGTGAAGGCGAGGATCCAAATTGGCTTGCAGGCGCTCAGTGAACTGCAGGGTCTCAGTGTGAGTGTCGACCAGGGAAAAGGGCATGATCCGGGTAGCTGAAGGCGTAAGGATCGTAGAGATCACTTGTTATGTTCTGTTCTGGATTTCAAAGAATTAAAACGCTGTTCAGGTTCATCCCCAAGACTTGTGATTGAGTGGCTCAGAGACGCCACATGGAACGATGCCAGCGCGGTAATCGACGAATTCCAGAGAGACGCCGGTGAGGCTGCTGTCGAATTCTTGAAGGTGGAATGGTTCTGGCTTCTGTGACGGTGTCTTCTCCGAGGAATTTTTTTTCGCTCGACATATTCGCCTTCCCGTATGAGGCTCTCCCATGTGCCCGACATTTTATTCCACTAATCTAGCCCTTCGGGGCCTTCCGAGTAGCAGTCTTTGCCTAGGACTCGACTACGGCGACGGCAGCTACGGGAATCGCAGGGAGTACGTGTCCTCATAAGTCTTCAATGGATTTCGCCTCGCTGAATAGGCTTTCGGATCGACAGCGCGGCCTTGGCTTTGATATCTTTTCCGAAAGTATAGGATTATTGAGCTTCAGCTCTTTCGTCCTCGACTCCCGCGACGGACATGTTCCTCATCTTCGCTTCAAAAACATTCGGAGCGATACAGGAATCGATTCCAAATAACCTGAAACATCGTATCGGTCGTAGCGATGGACTCTCACTCAGAGCTTGAGACTTCGGAATGATGGGCATAGAAAATGTCCCCAGAAGGAGAAAGCAGGAATATGTTCGCCTGAGCTTCACAGCCGCGGCATTGGATTCGGCGGACGCGGAACAGATCGCCGGACGGAGGCTTTGAGAGGGAAAATCATTCAGCATGGGAGGGTTTGGAATCCTTCGCCTCTTCTCATAGAGATTTCTTCGGGAGACAATGGACTTATCAGACCGATTGACGCATAGAACATCGTGAGACTCTCTCGCCCTCCGCGAGTCCCTCTCGAGAACAGAGTCACTTGTCCCTGGGCTCTCCGAGCATCGTCGAATCTGTAAGCCGGCCAGCGAATTCGATGGGCTATCCGTGGCTCCTCCCCCCGGAGATAATCCGAGCATGTTCCTGAGGAGCGAGATTCTGACAAATAGGATACGAGTCCGGCGACTGAGCGGCTTCGTTCATTCTGGGAACAGAGAGGGTAGGGAAAGGAGCCCTTCGCCTATGCTTGTTTCTCAAGCTGTTTATTTCAATCTCAACTCTTTAATCAATTTATCAACGATGCCCGTCTATGGCAGTCACGTAAGGTAGGTATGCAAGGAAACATTGATATAACACTCGTTCGTTTTCAATCGTCGATCATATCTCAGGGTGTTGCCGACATTGCTCTGTGAGACAGGCGTGTTGGATCAATTGATAATAAGTTCAGATTATATACTGTTGTCGTCCATCTCGTATTTCATTGTATAATCATCATCATCATCGTCTTCGTTATCAGCATCATCATATTAGAATTCAATTGTAGTTCCTCTAGCACAGAGAGTGCTCGACGTAAGAACGGGTTGATATACGATAGATTATGGTGGTAGTTAGGTAACTGCAGTACACGACTCATATTCATCCGTACACGCACGCTTGCAGGCAGACTCATACTCTCTCGACCGGTCGATCGGTCGGTCGGTCAGACAGTCAGTCGGTCTGGCAATCACACAGCGAGACATCATTGGCGCCCTCGAGACGTCGTTTCCCGTGCAAGAAAATGTATATTCCTTTTTCAGAACATTCACACGCAAACACGCACACACGCACACATTATTTGGTACTCGATCGTTAGGCAATCATCTGACAGTGATGATGATCTATCATATAGGTAACTCGTCACATAGGTGTTTCTCGATTCTTTGGGTGGAAGCTAAATTCGAAAGGCGGCCTTCGGCTCTTAGATGCCTTTCCTGTGAGGATCATCGTGTCTTGAACCGGTTCTTCGAGGCAAGTATCTATCACGGCCGTCCCGGTCGTGCGAGTGGGGCCTGACGTGGTAATGACCACAGCCGTTTCGGCAACTCCAGATCGACGACCGTCGTCGGCTCGGTGGATGTCTTCCATGTTCACCACCACCTGTAATTCATTGTCATGATTCCACTCATGTCATTGAGTTCCCTCTTTTCTCCTGGAACAATACTGGAAAAAACGAAAGGATATAATCGAAGAAATGAACCACAGAAATAATCGTCAGGAACTGAACTCATGATCACCACATGAATGAAGCATGAAGAATATCGCAGTCCATAATGATTAGCGAGGAACAGGGGTGACGCAGCGGAGAAAAAAAAGAGTCTGCCTAGTCAGAACGCTGATATCCTGAGAGGAACTTTGGATTGAGGCATATCATGCGAGGCGGATGGGAACATTGTACATATATCGAATATTATGCCGATATTCAGATGGCAGACGACTCACCAAGGTTATGATCGTGATAGTCGTGACGTTGCCCTCGATGATGCTGGTTATCACGATACTCGTGTAAAAGTTCTTGAGCAGAAACTTCCGCCCAGTTGCCGTGAACGGGACAGACAGGATTTATTCCTGGTGTCTCGGGCAGCTCAGGAAACTCCTCCACAGGGGGGAACTCCCTCAGTCTGGGGGTGTTCTAGACGAGAGGGAAGACGAAGAAAAAGCTTGAGAGTATTGAAAGGGATCATGAAATATGCACCGCGGCAACGACGGACTCCTGCCTCCACTCAGACCTTTCAGCCCAAGACAAGGTCAGAAGGAGTCGAGTCGAGCCTACCGCGAGTTCATTCATTCGAAGCGGGCGTAATGTGCCGGGAATCCCCAACGAGTTTAAGCGCGAGAGCCGCGAACGTAAGATGGAAAGATTCAACACGTTCCCGGGCGAGGTGCCCGAGGAGATTTGGTCAGAACATTTCGATGGTCCCCGACGGCCCCTCCGCGGCCGCTTCTGTTTGTGGAAATCACCACCATTGGAACGCGATGAGTGATTTGATTTAATATACGTCTGGTCCCCGCTCGATATCCCGAGTCCGCGCGACGGGACCAAATAACGTAAAGAGCTCCATGTCGGCGTCACGATTCTGGCCACTTTATCTGTACGACTCTTCATTTGCTTTCTCGTTCGTTTGTCCGGACGCTCGTTCGTTAGCGAATTGCTTAACATCCGGCCACTCTGGAGCTGCTGCTCTCTCAACTCTTAGCTGATTCGAACGAGCGAACCGAAGACAACCGCCATTCGGAAACTGTTTACAACCGGGGTGTTTCGGGAACAATTTGTAGCTTCCGAAAGCTCCTCTGAGCGTTCTAATGAAAACTCTTGCAGCTCCGTTCTTTCTCGGAACATCATTTGTCGTCATCATTCAAAAGCTCCGGAAGACCAAGAACGAGAGCGTCCGGATGCTCGTCGTCCTTTCAGTCTGTCCGACCGTCCGTTAGGGGAACCTCCGGCTTGATCAAGACTTCGGGCCCTACGCTCGAGCGTCATTAGCCAGATCTTAGGCGGAAGGAACGAAAATAATTATAACAGTTGGTACTTACGATTGGACCGAGTGGGGCGATGAGACCAGAACCAGGCCCACGACGCGTGCCTCCCAATCCGATGTTGATGATGATTCTCTTGTAATCGCCCGAGGACGATTCGTCACCATTCGAGCTGACGCTCTCCTCGATTATGGATGGACCGTCTCTTGACCTCTGGATTACACCATAAGGCTGACACGAACCGCGAACCTGTAAGAACGTGGATTCGTTCATGATTCATGCGGTATCCACGTAAAGGAAGCTTCTCGTTCGCTCAAAAGCAGCTCTCATTCAATGACTACTCCGAGATGGGAATAATTCCGGGCCATTCCATCCGGAACGAGGTACATCCGGCAATCAAGTCAGTGATTGGTATCGATCAGCCGTAGAGTGCAACTCCTGCATCGACTGCTCGGTTTGTTGGGTTTGTTAGGACAAGCTCTATCCCGCGCTTTTCGGTTAAAGCTATTGCGTGGTCCGAAGGAACAAAACGACGCAAGGGAATATGGCGAGTTCCGTGTCAGCTAAATGAGAGTGCCAATCGGTGATGAGAGAGAAGAAGCGATCTGTGCTCGTAGTTCGGTTGGGGTAATTCGTGAGTGATGGAATCAGAGGGAGTGTTGGAAAAATGCGATGTCATGGACAGTTAGATAGAATTGCATTTCCACGTGGCTGATACCTTTCCTGAGCACCTTCAAGAGTGGGACAAATATTTAGGTTCGATGGCAGCAGCCTATGATTCCGTTCTGTGAATCATGTGAATCTGTGAGTTACCGAATCGAGTCGCCGATCAATCACTACCGGACGAGCCGGAGTCGTGGACGAAAAAAAAGTCCAATGGGAACAAGGTGAGACGAATGAGGTTCAATTTTTTTCCTCTTCGCTCCCGTCGTCGGCCTCCCTCTCGATCACAGAGCGCCTTGGGATCTCTCTTCGAATTCACGTCGGTAAGATGTGGGGTACTCACGGGGCTGGGCTCGTCTTGCGTTTCCTCGATTTCTTCGCCGGCCAGAGTCGCGTCATCGTCCTCGATGTTTTCCGGATAGATTTCACCGACTCCGGCGAGCTCCGTTCCGTAGTCACCCCGCTGTAGGGACACTCAAGTGAACAAGGAAAGTTCTCCAATGATACCTTAAGCTCAAAACAAGTGACCGGACCACTTGTCCTGTTCTGCTAGTTCGGACTTACCACTCTACTGTGGGGTCGAGTCGGGTTAGACATCCAGCCAGTTTCCACGACTTCTGTGAGTCGTTCCGTGTGGAGAGATTCCTGATTCAGTAAATCAGGTCGTTCGTTGAGGTCGAGTTCTGACCTGATGCGCTTTCGAAGGCGTGGACCGAGTGATTCCAACAAGTCGTCCGTAGTTTGGACCCCGGTTTCGACACGTCGTTCTCGTGCTGTATCCTGACGGTCGGGAGAAGACTTCCGGCCGCAGTATCCCGATGGACCTGTGGGGGGATTTTTATGGAGTTATTCCGGGAAGAAAGTGGAGGCCGAGTTCATTTTAGCCCTAATCGATCGCTCGCGCAACATCGACTGGTCTTGCGACGCGTCTTTGCGGAGTTAATCATTGACATCATATTCTGCTCTCAAGCCCAGGTTGCCGCCGTTCGGTGGCGGCGTTCGTCG